ATAAATATATTTTTATTTAAACAAATAATAAATTTAAATTAGACTATCATTAATACCTTGAGGCAACCAAAATTCATTTCTCATCATATGGTAAAATGCCACATCAAATCGATTTGAACTTTTTATCGGAAATCCTTCAGGATTTCCAACTCTTATTCTTTTAGAGTTCTCATAACTGCAAACCAGCGCAGCCCATTTGACTTGGCATTGTCTGCTAGTAACTTGAGCTGGATAAATATTGTTTATTTTGGTTGCTATGCCATCCCAGATGGCAGCATACTCAGTATTCAGAGTATTTTCGAATTCTTCGCAATATTCGTTACAAAGATTTATTAAATTTTCTGTGACATCGAAAGTTCAAACCATTCCAGCCATATTTTGATATTATTAAATTTTTGTTTGAAGAAGTTTAAGAGAAGACAGAGAAGACAGTGAAAGATTTTTTTGAACAAATTTATTGAATCGTATCATGTATATTTATACATTCTCAAATAATACCTTTATTTTCTAAGTTCTCTTATTATAATTCAAATCTTGTTTAAGAAGATTATTAATTTTTTTTTCAATCACATTAATTAATATGATAATACATATCAAAATTATTGTATTAAGAAAATATCATTTGAAACAAATATTTCCTTATTATGATTTTTTTTTTGATTACATTAATTAAAATAATAATACTGTATAAATCAATTAAATGTATTAATGATAAGAAAAAACACTTAAAACAAATTTATTTCCTATGTTTTTTTTTGATCACATAAATTAAATTATAATACATCAAGACTATACATGAAGTCGAAATAGATCATTTCGGATATCTAAAATGGTCGAATTGGTCAAAATCATTTTTTTTATATTTTAACGATGTGGTACTATCAGTACATTTTATTAATTTATACTAAAATACAATAATAGTAAAATCAAAAACTAACAAACAAATGACTAACTACCCCCTGTAACTATATTGCAAGTCTGTTTGAGTCGACCGAGTATCGCCACCCCCCTCCAACAGACCTACTACATACATGCATAATGACTACTATCTTCAACAGAGGATGGAAATAAACTATGGTCAATACTACTTCATTATCTTCTTTCTAAAGTAAATTTCCAAAAAACAAAACAAAAATGTAACCCTTCAACTAATGGTGACATATTTTCTGAAGAAGTAACTATGAAACCTGACTATCTACGCTAAAGAATTTACAAAAAGAAGCAACATAAAGGGACTCTACTAAATTCCTAGCTAAGTTGTCCAGTCAATTCCAGATTACAGCGACCACTCAGCACAGGTAATCTCATATCACTAAGTTCCAATAGAGGCTTTTCAGACTATCACTTCCAATGCTAAGATGTCTGTTAATTCAGATTACAGCCAACCTCTGGCACAGGATGTAACCCAAATCACACAGTCGGTCAAGTCTGGAAAATACTGCGTGGGATTCTGCAGTCTTCGATGTCAGAGATCTGCAAAAAAAATCTTGCTGTTTATAAAGAAATAGGGATGTCATTATGCAGATTTGTGTATCCAAAGTATGTTGATCATAATTATCAGTTAGGATACCCCTTGATGCTCACTTTTGTAGGCAATTATTTTTGAAAACGAAAAAACAAGAAAAAATATACCAAAGAGAGATGAAGAAAAAATATTTTAACAAAAAACAACACAGTTTAGACTTTAACAGCAATTTTTATGTAGATAGGGATTGGGGAAACAAAAAGAGAATTTTTTTTGAAAAAAGGGGTTTTTTATTTTGTTTGCAGGCTAAGCCATGGCTAGAGTTGGTAAAAGTCCTAATTAGTCCTAATTGGTCCTAATTAATTTTAAAAAAATTATTAGTTTTAAAGATTAAATTTT